TGAAATGCAATATTCTTCCCTCCTCGAGCCAGACTGAAGTTTAGAAACGAATAGGAGAAATAGATTTTAATTTTTGCTCTTGAAAGTTGTCAAAATCAATTGTTTCAGTTGAAATTATAGCAGTCATCAAATAAAAAAAATGCTGGTTTAGCTTCCGATAAGAAAGTATAGAGTCACACATAAAGCATTTTCACATAACTGTCATAGAAACAAAATGGTTGGTGTCGATGTGGTGCATTAACAAAGCCGATATTTCTGGCTACTCAGTCATGTGCCATGCGTAATACAAGGTTAGGCGATCATATACTTTTTCGATATGACTGACGAAGCAGTTTTTTTTCCTGCAGTAGGTTGCCATCCAAGGCTATAGAAAACCGGTCTGTCCTGCTATTTACCCATAGCTGGAGGGAAAGGAAGAGGATTCATACCTTTCCCAAGGGTATTAACACGTAAGCAAATGTAATAGATTCTGGCTACTCTTAAGATATTACTTTCTCTGAAATTAGTTTAGGAAGTATATTTTTATTTTTTTTAGGGGGGGGGGGGGACAAACAAAAAAACAACCTAGTAAGATAGGTTGCTGCAATGTCAAATGTTCAACTACTTTGCCTTAATTATTAAAGTAGATTAACATGTATTAATTTAATTATTGAAGTCAAATAAATAATTGCTAAATAAATTCGTTTCTGACTATGATGCTGGGCAGGAAGAAAAGCTAGGAGTCTGAATTTTCTGGGATGAGTTATAATTATTTATACACGGACTGTTGTCATCATTGTTTTGACCCGGGGTAGGGGAACACAACGACCGAACATTGTGCTTACTACAACAAAGACAATAGTTAGCATGTAAATAATAAAACCAGTTCAATAATGGACGCCGAACGTTTTCCCGACGACCCCGTGACGCTTTTCGCTGACTTTCTATTTGATTGCAGAGTGTCTATCAAAAGGCGGAAAAATTTCTTAAAACTGACGCAAAAACAAAAATAAACTAAATAGTAATTCACGGAGTATAATTTAACTTATTTCCTTCTTTGTGGAATTAAACGTTTGGTTAGCGTCGATCAAATTTATCAGATACGTACAGGGAGTGAAATCAAGGAACCGGGCGGAAATACTGGCTTAAACCGCTTATGTTCACCTCGTACAAGTGCCCTTTGAGGTAAGGATGTTAATGTTTGACAGGAAAACATGTAGATATACCGAATATAAACCAATTCCATGTGACTTGAATTTTAACCACACCACAAAAAAAAAAAAAAATTACCAGGATATAGTGCGACCCCTAGCCTAAAGAACTAGCACTAGAAGGAAGAAAAAAAAAAAAAAAAAAAAGCCTCCTCACCAACCGGCATTATATACTGAATTTACAGCCCCTACCAAATGAACTGGGATTCAAACTTGTTATTCAGTGAACTTCTGTAGTGTTGTAGTTTATTCAGCGTTTTATTCCCAAAATTATGAATACCAGCTTAAATTTTTTTACGAGTTTTTTCTGTTCGTTCCTTTGAAATTGTACTGAAAGAAACGCCACGGCCTCAAAAGCGACTTTGATTGACGCAAAACATTCCATTTAAATGTTACTTGGGAGTGGTTACTCTAACAATATTTTTGTGAGTAAACTTACCTTAGTTGTCGTTAAGTTATCCAATGCAGCTGTATCCTAAACAACAAACCACTGATGTGAGAAGCACTGAACCCTTGTAAGAGGTTTGTAGATTTGGCAAATACGGAATATAAAGTTGACTACAAAAGGCACATTAAGGTTGTAAAATAAAAACATGAAATACAATTATGTTAGAGAACTAATATTAATGGTAGGAATCAAATTTACTTTAAATAATAAATTTACTTCTCAGACTATTGGACATGTGAGAGAGAAGTATCAGTGACATACCTTTGTTTAACAGCAGGTAAAATATTTAGATACTTCTGTCAGTTAAATGCTACACGCATGGGTGATAATGTCTTGATTCATGATTGATTAGGCAGACTATTGCGCCACAGTAGGTCACCAACCAAGACTATAGGACCCAGTCTGTTCACTGCGTTTTTCTAATTAGTTTTGCAAATAGAAAATTACAATTAAAAAAGAGAAGTGGCAGAAAAGACTGACAAGTTTACTAACTAAAAAAAAAAAAAAAAAAAAAATCAAAAACTGGCATTCAATGTGTGGGATGCAAATGTCTCTAAAAGATTATTGCCAGTTTGCAAAATTTGATTTAAGGGCCTCAAGATTTAAAAAAAAAAAAAAATTGTTCCAATCCAAAGCCATACATATTGTATTATTACAAATAAATTCATTTCATAAATTATCCTGATCTTCGATTCCAACTACTGGAAAGCTGAAGAATACAAGTTAAAAATTCGTGGAATTTCTCACTAGGTTTTCCAAGAGATCCGATTTCAATGAAATTAATGATTTAGTTCCCTGTAGTGTGATTGAAGGAATGTAGTCATGTGTTTTTAAAATCTGTAATAGTCAAGCAGTACTAAACAGCCTGAGGAACAACAAAGTTGTCAATAATGGCAGTTTAGTTGCAGGCGACTTCTCAGGTACATTTGCTCAATACCAACTTGAGGTTTATACTACTTAGTTTATGCTAAGTGGAAGTTAATTTCCAAGAATTATCAAGACTAAACAAGCTGAAACCCTTTTTACTAGTTCTAGCCCAACCATCAACGTCTAATTGAATTTCATTAACAAGGTATGGTCAATGAGGAAGGTCACTTTATGTCATTAATCCCAGCATGCAGTGCCATCAGAAAAATAGCATTACATGCTGAGATTGAAGACATCAAATGAGCTTCTTCATTGAAGATGGGGAGATTGCAAACACTAACTATAGTTGATTTTTCTTTTGGCTTATCAAGCATATGCAGATAATTTAAAAGGCAAATATTTTTAGTGTAATAAGATATGATTAACCCATAGCTTGGGAGGGGAGAGAGAAGTGGTGCCATTTTCCCCCAAGGGTATTTGCACATAAGTGTATATAAATCTAATTGGAACTTCTCTTCAATTTTGAGCAGTTATCCATTACACTACCCACACATTCAAGCTTACTTAATTTTGGTAATTGTATGAGAAATTATGCTTCAATGTCATATGGTCGTAAGCTTTCAAACCTGTGAAAAAATATTAGTTTTTTTTTTTTCCTTATCTTGGTTACCGTTTTCTCCTTGGAGCATATAAAATAAGCATATTGACTACTTAAGTGGATATATTTAAATTTTGTCATTTAATATGTTGCAGTAACCATGTTCCCTATCATTAAGGGAACACTTGTACTAGCTGTTGATGTATAAAATTTGAAAGGGTAAAATGAAACAAACCCAGCCAATAAGAGGCTATGGGCAACTTTACATTATATTTGTTTAACACAATTAAGATAATACAAACCAATTTCTAAACAGATTGCTAATTCAAAAAGGAGTATATTTAACCCACTCCTACTCATGTCACATTGTGATGAATGAAATTTCCACGATGGCTCTACAGTTAAAGATGTTAATGTGAAAGGTTTTCTAAATTATGAAACAATACAAATTGAAATAGTAAATATTTTCATGCACCAAGGAGAATGTAAACAAGTATATAAAATGTAATTAATTTGTAAGATTGGCTATATTTAGGAGAGAAAAGTGCTCAATACTAATACATGCAAATTTAAGAACTGGAAAGCAACAGTTGTCAGACCACTGATTCCATGAAATGGACAGTTACCAGACAGTATTAATGTCCACACTGCTATATATAGGTTCAGATATTTTTTTTTGACATCTTTGGGGAGGACCAGAGAGAAAAAAAAAAATTATACTGGTAAAAATTTGTTAGTTTAAGATTTTCTGCCTACACTGTCTTAATATTTTGCAAGAGGCTATCATGAAGCGCGCCGCCGGGGGATACCAAATATAGGATTCTTAAAATACATGACACCAAATTCTAAAGTCACACGAACCAAGCATTTTTCTGTAAGGTCCAACAAGTTTTGCCAAACATTCCCATTTCACAATAGATTTTTTTTCAAATCTCAAATCCCATAAACCAGCAATACTGATTGAGAATTATTGTACATGCCAAACAACTGAAATTGTATATATTAAGACTAATCCCAAATTTGAAACTGCAATTCTCCACTGTGAATGGAAAAAGAAAAGTTTAAAGTTAGTTAGGACTTTCTGATTAAAAGTATAAAAATGAATGTACAAAATCAGATACATTTTTTTCTAAAAATACAAGCCATTTTGTTAGAGAGAACACCAAGCCGGAGCTTTTTAAAGTGCATCCTTATTTCCCTTGCTGTAGGGTTTTCCTCATTGCTAGTGCTTCAAAAACAGTTAAGCAATCCCAGTTGATAGGATTGCAGAAAGAGAACACATGAACAAAGGAATATTTTTGTCTAATCAATATCAAATAAAAAGGCAAGAGGCTAGATTTATGTTGGAAGGATTTCTACCTGAATCACCAAAAATTTCTATTTTTCAGCACGTTCCTTGCATTTACAAGCTGCTTCTAATACTTTGATGCTCATTCTGAGAAAATTCCATTTTGAGTAAATGCAAAAATATTAAAAAGTCGCTATAACTTTTAAACAAAGAACCTATGATCATGGTGATTTTTCATGCTTTTGTACAATAATGCTAGAATTTAGCCTCAATTAGCAAAAATAGTGAAGAGTAGCTATGTAAATATTCCTAGATTAGAAAGTCCTAACAAACTTAGACAATTTCTTCTTGAATTGTAAAATCAAGACAGTTGTATAAAAGGGGGAAAAAAAATAAAAAAAATAAAACAGACATTGGAAAACACCCTTGCCCATTGGGGGAATCTTCCTTAGAAAGTGGGATGTGTGTATGTGAATTAGTCTCCCTCAATTAAAGGTCATTAAATTTGCCACAATAATAATAAAAAGGCATATTCAAATACTGATATCTAAATTTTTAAAAGGAAATTTAGAAAGAAATTATGATTAGCAAAATTGATGTAGAAAGTGTTTAGAAAGAAAATACACTCATCAAATGAGTAATAGTAGCAACAGTGGTGGTGGTAAGTAGGCAAGTGGTATCATTGGAAGTAAATAGAGGTTTTGTAGAGAGCTGATGAGTTTTCTGTAGGCTTTAAAAAAAAAAAAAAAAAAAAAAAAGAAAAAAAAAAAAAAAACAAAACAAAAAACCTATGGAAAGAGTGGCACCAGAAAGTTGTTGGATAGGGATACAATAAATGAGGAAGCACCAAAAATGAAGACAAAAATAGTGTAAATAAACTGCTAAGAGGGCAAATGCTTACATATTTACAATTAGGAGCAAAATTAACCAGTACCCCTAATCAATTAAAAAAGTAGGGTAACAGAAAAACATTGATATATAAATTAAATGTTTTGAAAAGTGTTTGCAAAATTTTAATTATGTTCCAGTAGTTGATGCTTCCCCAACATATTGCAATTGGTGTGTGTTTATGTGTGTCAGTATATGAAAAAGAGAAATTTAAAAAAAATAAAAAATAAAAATAAAAACAAACAAAACACAAACAAAATAGAAGTACAGCAGTACAGAGATCAGCAAACTGTTCAGTCAGATTGTGATAGCAAAAATAAAACAAGATGAACAGATGTGGCTTTGACCAATGAAGACTGATGGATGGACAAAAAGTGTTGACAGCAGAAGAGAGAGAGCTGTGGAGCTGAAACAGAGTGGAATAGGTAAGACGGTAGACTAAGAGAAGCTCTCAAGAAGTTTAATAGCACAAGAAATGATACAATAGCATTAGTCACAGAAGTTAACAGTGGTAGTAAAGTAGTAGTAGTAGTGGTGGTGGTAGTAGTAGTAATAGACAGAGTAAGTACAGTTTGTAGCTAGCTAAAGTAGATAAAAGATAGATAATGATAGACCAACACAAATGGAAGATATGAAATGGTGGAAAAAAAGCAAAAGCAAAGATATATAGTATGTAAGATATAGAACAATTTTTTGTATTAGATATCTAAGAAAGCATAGTGGAAAATAATTGGTTTCAAAGATAATTATAGAACCAAAGAGAAAAATTGATTTTTTTTTTTTTTTTAAAAAACATGAAATGCTATATATTTTTTTCATTTTTTTTTTTCTTCCTCAAAATGTTTTTCATTTTTTTTTTTTTTTTTTTTAATATTTTTTTTCCTTTTTTTTTCCATTTTTTTTTTTTTTTTTTTTTTTAAATATTTTTCCCCAATTTTTCTTTCTTTTCTTTCCTGGAGACCAAGACACAAGTCACACTAGCGAAGAATAGGTCACAATTTGGTGCTCTTTAAACCCAACACCACAAGAGATATTACAAAACAATACTTTAATATCAGTACTTTTACACAATACACGTGGGAACTGTTGTCCTTTTGTTTTTGTTGTTTTTTTTTTTTTCTCTCTTCTCTTTCATCAATTATGGAACATTTATAGCAATAAATGTTAAACAAAATCTAAGAAAAATAAAAGTAAAAAGAAAGTGGGCATGTGTATAAGAAAAAAATAAGAAAAGAAAAAAGATAACTCGCTTATGATAATAAATACAAACTAGTTTTTGTTTTCTCTTTAAAAAAAAAAAAAAAATGCTACCCAGATTTACTTCATGTTCCCCTGTAGAGAAGACCATCCATCCATACACCTTTCAGAGATTAACTCTTGGAGTTCATTTTTCTTAAACCAGGCAGTAGAATGCTTAACCCCCTGAATTCAGTTTTTACTTTTTTTAAAATTTTTATTTACTGAGTGGGATTTAATTTTGTGAAAGCTGTCCACAAAACCATCCCGAATTATCAATTTGGAAAGATCTTTTTTATTCCCCCCACCTAGTAAAGAGAGGGAAAAAAAAGGAAAAGAAATAAAGGGATAGATGACCCACCCCCTACCCAAGACACCTCTGTTAAATGACACTAAGAAAAGAAAAAGAAGAAAAAAAAAAAAAAAAAAAAAAAAAAAAAAAAAAAAAAAAGAAGATCTGGGATTCGGTCAGAAATTTATTATGGCTTGAAAAGGTCATACACTAGCAAACGTAAGGAAATGGGAAAAGTACGAAGGGAAATAGATAGATGGAAATAAGGGGTGGTGAAGAAGTAGAAAGAAAAAAAAAAAAAAAAAAGAGCAGAAGACCATCACCATGAAAAAGAATCTTTTTTTTCTCTCTAAAGTCTTTTTGTATTAATTCTTTTCATAGTTTTTACCCACAGAGAAACAAACTTTGAGAGAGAGAGGGAGAGAGAGAGAGAGAGGGGGGGGTCCAAGAGAAATTAAAAATTCTTAACAAAATGACAAGACAGAATGGTGGTGAGAAAAGGGGGAAGTTTGGAAGGGTGAATGGTATATAAGAAAAAATAGTTGAGAGTTAACTATGCAGAGAGAGAAAGAATCAAGAAAAAAAATGTAAGGAAAAAAAAAAAGAGGAGGTTAAAAGAGAAGAAGAAGTGGAAAAAAGCTACTAAGTAAAAGGTCAATAGTCAGATAAAAAGAATGATAGTTTGCAGAAAAAGTAGCAGCAGCAATAATAGTATTGATATAAGACGCAAAAAACACTATATTCAATTTACGTTAGGTTAAGAGGCTTTAATGTATGATAAACTAGCAACAAGCTCTCAAAAGATGTTTGAGAGAGAGAGAGAGTGAGTGTATGTATGTAGGTAGAAGAGTTTAAAAAATAAATCTTTAAAATTATTTCAAAACTCATACAGAAATTTTAAAAATGTTAAGGGTAGGTGGAAAGGAGAACATGTTCCTAACATTTCACAGACCCTTTGGAATTTTTTTTTTTTTTTTTATTAGTACATTTCAAGTCTTTTTTTTTTTTTTTAATAGAATACTTTATAATATATATTTATATATATTCATATATATATATATGAGGGAGTGGAATTTTCATTCTTTAAAAAATAAACGAGGAAAAAAGTTACAATAATAAAAAAAATAATTGAGTTGCCAATTTTCAAAATTTTTTTTTCTTCACCTCAATTCTTCCAATATAATTATTTTTTTATATTGATCTTCTCACTATGCTTTCATGTATATGCATGAAATGTCTGTATACATGAAAATGCTGGGCAAAAAAAAAGAAAAAAAAAAAAAAAAAAAAAAAAAAAAAAAAGTGATTGTGAAGGCAGCAAACTTATTTTCTTCCCCAGCAACATGTTAAGGATAAGAATGTTTAAATGGTTTTTATTAATTTTGAAGAGGCGAGAGGCTGAGTACCAAGTCACTAGGGAGTAACTGTTGGTAACTTTAAGGTAGAGTTGGTGATTTAAAGATTTAAGTTTTTGTCGTCATAATAGAAGTAGTACTGAGTAAATAAAGGGGGTGGATGTTCACCAAACACAATCACAGACACTTCACCCCCAGGGTTTGGTTTCTTCTTCCTCCTCCTCCTCCTCCTCCTTTCTTCTTTCAATTTTTTTTTTTTTTTTTTTTAAATGAATTTTTTTTTTTTTTTTTCAAGTTAGACTTAAGATTGCAAAAATATATACAAACCGGGTTGGCTTGCAATTCCAATATTTTATTTTTTTTTAACACTTGATAATGCAAAAATAGGATGATGTATAAAATTACAGCTACACCTACCAGCCAAAAATGATCAAACATTAATCAGAACCACTGTTGTTTTTTCTCTCTCTCAGAATATGAAAAGCTAAGTGGAGGGGGAGGGATGGGGAAGGGGGGGGTAAATACAAGTAAAAACTCACAAAGTTTGAAACTGTTGTGAAAAGTATGCACAGGATATATATATATATATATATATATATATTTATTTTTTCTTCTTCTTGTGGCAAAGACAGAAAAGGATTGATAATGTCTTGTTAACAGACGGACAGACAGTGTTGGCCAGTTCTTTCTTGCATTGTCTACTCACTTGCATACATACTTGCTATTTCGACACCACAACATTTAGCAACAGTAAATGTTGGGCCAGGAAGACCACAACACTTTCAGAATCAGGCATACATACTCTCACCAATTACAAAAGAGTTGTGCACTATGTAGAGTGAAGAGGAAAGAAAAATGCAGCAGATGAGGCAGCAACCATAATTTTGGTCGGCTGAAGAATAAATCAGGCAAACAACTGTGGGGGTTGGGCAGGTGAGGAAGAGAAAAAAAAAAAATTCAACATAAAACAGACCCATGATGCATTAACTATAGCACCACTGAAATGAAAGTGTACTTGGCACAGTGTTAAATAAAATCAACTATACTGAGAAAAATGTGCTTGATTTACCAAGGACCCTAATACCTGGGAGGGAGGTGAAGAAAATCCAAAGTCAGGTAAAAAGCATGGAAAATGAACACACACAGACTCTCTCTCTCTCACTCACACAGGTCCTATGTCATTTACATATGGAACAAGTTAGAATTATTGTAGCATAGATATTGAAGCATTAAACAGAATATACGTTCAAATATTGGTAGGTGATGTCAGAACTGTGCCAAGCCACTAAATAATTCAGTAGGTAAAGTAGGTCTAACTTAAGCCACTTTGACTGATGAGCTATTTAAATGAGTACTCAAGTCTGATAATCAGTCAACTCCAAACAAAGCTGTGAACTTCAGTGGATAAATTTTAAATTCCTGTTCTCTTCCTACAGGAAAAATAAGGTGGTTGTTATGAAGGCCACACAATTTCAGACTTGTTTTTTTTTTTTTTTTTTTTTATATACAATGCCTGGAATATGATTTTCTTTTAGGTGGGACAAAGGGATTTGTTTATATGCTTATATTTTTTTTAAGCCTAAGGATAATTTCAATGCACTGTGATGAGGGAAGAAAAAACAAATTTAAAACTTATCCTAAAATCTTATTTCTTCACCTCACATACCACCCATCAAAATGAGATGTTAATTTAAAAAGAATTCAGCACTAACTTCTAACGCGTGTGTCCCCTTTAATCTTTATTGGAAATCTTGAAGCCAACCCCAAATTCTCACATTTAATATGGAATGGGCAGCCTCCCCTCTAACCACAGCTAAAAAAGAGAAAAAGAGTTCTTGGGGGATGAAGGGAAATATTTATGACTTCTGGGATATTGAGTGATGAGAATAAACACTCAAGCAATTGCTTGATAAGAAAAGAAAAAAATCTCGGGTTGGGGGTAAGGACAAATGAAATGTTAGGAGTGAGAGGCAGCAAAAGTAGCAGCGGCAGCAACAGCAGCAGGATTTGCATTTTTGGGACTAAAGTGACCTGTCTGCCCAACTTTGTTAATTGCTACTAGGAAGGCATGATAATTTTCCAAGGGCACCACCCCCAACCTTAAACAGCTTTCTATTAAAAGAAATTACCCCAGAACTGCACCCTTATGCCCAGCCACCCAGCCCTGACCCACAGGGGAAGAAAGGAGAAAAAAAAAAAAAAAAAAAAAAAAAAAAAAAAAGTGTTGCTTGACTGCTTGCCTAGAAATATGTTTTCGCTCCTCCCGCAACCCCAAGTCCTCAGCGTTCTTCCACGCTTTAGGTGGAGGGAGGGAAAAAAGATTTTTGAAAGCTTTTCCATTTTAATTTTTTGAAAAAATTATTTGTTTATTTTTCAGCTTGGGAATATTTTTTCTTTCTCTCCAAGTTGGACTTTTTAGAACATTTTTAAATTCCTGTTTTATGTAATCAATTTAAAACTTTGTCTTGTAGTTTGTTTAAATCCTTGGATTCAACAAGGCACTTATCAGCTATACCAACTTCACAGCAAAGTGGAAAACTTTAAGTGAGCCAGCAAACAACTGAGGACTGGTCTCTGTCTGTCCGCCCATGTCTTGTCTGTTAGTTGAGTTGCTCAGCTCCTCCAGTGGTGGTGGTGGTGGTGGTGGTGAATGTGGTGGTTGTTCTTGGTCATGTTTCTGCTATGATGCAGCGGCAGGCTGCTGTAATGATGGCGCTGCTGCTGCGGCTGCGGCAGTCAGGATCCTCCCCTATTTAATTTTTTTGCTTCCCTTTTTTTATTTAATTTTTTTTTTTCTTTTAAATTTTTTTTAAACATTTTTTTAAAATTTTTTGTGGTGGGGAAAAAATTTTTCCCCCTTTAGAGGGTTGACTTGGAAAATGATACACGCAAATGGTTGCTTTCACTCAATGGGAAGTTGTGAAGGCCCTGCAAAGAAAAAGAAAATAAAATCTTCAAGAATCTGTGTCACTCAGCACACTTTGTATATGGTATAAATTTGTATAGGGTTAAACCCCAAAACCTAGTCTTATGCTGTTAGGAAGTCATCTTTATACTAAAACCATTCTTAAGTAGTAGTAGTAGTAATAATATCATCAAGTGAAGAAAATCAATTATTTTACATGTCCTTCCACTGACCAAAAAATCATTTTAAGTTATTGAAGCCACTTGTAAGTAATTTTAGATTAATAATACTCCCATCCCCTATCAATTATTGCAAAGTTGGGCTCAACTTTAAGACAGTTGATACAACTAGAAACTGAAGCAACCTTTTGCTGAGCAAAGCTTATTCCAATCCTCGCTAAGGAAGACTACGCGATACAACTTTTATATATGAAACACCAGTTCTTGTATCAGTAAATCTCCAAAAAATTACAATCTAAAAATATTTTCTGGGTTTAAATAAGTGGCAAAAAAAAGCTGTAAAAAAGCTGTGAAAAAAAAAAAAAAAAAAAAAAAAAAAAAATCCATGTTAATAAATCAACCAAGTATACTTGCATAATAGCCAAAGGAATCTACTGTTGGACATTTTTGGTAAATCTTATTGGCTAAAAACAATTTGAAGCTCATCTACTTAGTACCATCTAATAACTTTTTCAGTTACCAACAAACAGAACTGGCGTAGCAATTTAAAATAAAACAAGTTAATGAAGACTAGCTAGGAAATATGGGCTATCATATAAAAATAACAGGACTTACAATAAGAGCTTTTACTGCCTCTTCAATGGATCCCATCTGAGTAAGAGCCATTTTCTTGTCTTTACTGTATAAGAGAAAAGTCACGTTACATACACAAAAAGACATTTACAGTGATGCATAAAATTTCTTGTACTATTGTTATTTTTTCTTAAAAATAAGATGTATGCACAAAGATTCTGTAGCAACAAAACTTTAGCATTTCATTCACTAAAAATTGAATTTGTAGTTTTAACCCCATAGGAAATTGGTAATTTAAAGCAGTAATATTTTCTGAATTTACATAATTTGCATATCACTAACAACATACTATTTTTGTATGTATTCTGTAAATAGCTAATTAACAAGGCCGGTAGATGAAAATGAATTCAACAAGATATGCATGCTGAGAGAAACTAAAGCAACACAATATATTAGCAAAATGGAAATACTTTTAAATTTACTTACGGGAAAAATTTGAATCCTTTCACTGTTCCATATTCAGTAAACATTTCTTTCAGCTTTTCCTCTGGAATATTGGTTCTGGAATAAGACAGAAAAATATTGACTTTCTAAAACAAATAGCTTAAAGAAATTTAAAAATGTTTAGAGTCCAAAAATATTGTAGTAGCATTAACAATTGCTGGATTATTGTATTGTTTTCTTTGGTCTTAAGTGCTGTAACAACTTTTATTAAAAGAAAAATTCATGTTTTAGCTCCTAAAAGTTATTTTAGACTAAGAGTTTGCTAGATTAAAATACATAAGAGTAGCTTTTTTTTTTTTTTTTTTTTAAGTAAAGGCTGGTTTCTTATGTCAAGCTCTGCAATTTTCAGTCTAATTTAGAAAAATATTAAAAGACCGATGTGTAAGATTGTGGCACATAAAAATGACTGATGCACAAGTGGCTCAAATGTAAATTGAGCACACATATTGACTCGATAAATGAGAATGAGAAGTTTGATCAATGTCTTTAGTTCTCCTGCGAATAAGAATGGCACTTGAAGCTAACAAGTTACTTGCAAAACTTATTGCAGATGTGGAAAGCTAATTTGTTCTGTAAAAAACTTGGCCTGTTTAAGCTTCCTTGTGGGTTTTCATGCGAGTGGTTTCAGTGCACCAACACACACAACTTATGGCCAACAAAAGCTGTACTGGAAAGGCATACTGTCACATTCACCACATGTAAATTGTTGGATCAATGGTTTTTCCTTCCCTAACTGCACATTTGACACTTACCTAACTCATTGCATTTCTTGGAAGATCTTAGTGCCTCCATGAATTGTACGTTTCCACCTATTTCGATTACAAGCAGCAGTTTCTCATTCCAGATCTTCTACATGGCAGGCTGCAAGAGAATCTCCTAAACAACTCTTGAAGCACTTTTTTCATTTATGCCAGGGTCAAATGCAGTAGAACATTTGCTCTGCTAATCTCAAGATGAATGACATGGCCTGTCTCAGACAAGCCTGTGACTATGAATGTGCACTTTGGTGCAGATAGCATTAGGTTTCTTGCAGACTATAGTGCTGGGCCTGTGGGATATCCAGAATCTACCTATATACATACAAACATGTACACACACACACACATAGCATCACAAGAGTCATTGGCATTACTTACGGAATGTTAGATAAATGTAAGACAGCTGATGGAGGAAATATGTTTTGACAATTCTTGGAGCCTGGTCGCTTGAATCTGTGCAGAGGAGAATTTGTATAGTCTCTCGTCAAGCCAGAGTCCTGGTAAAATAGAATCACAAAAAAAAAAAAAAAAAAAAAAAAAAAAAAAGAGTGTTAACATGATTTGTTACAAAAAAATGATAAAATGAGGAGGAAAAAAAGTTTGGACCTGTTTTTAAATTAAAAATAAAAAGATACTATTACCTGCTGTCCCTCCTTAGGCATTTGCACCACAGTATGCTTAGAGGGTGCAATTCGGATCTGTTTTGAATACAGGGTCAACTTGTCCAAATAGGTTTTGGCTGGAAGAGAAAAATGTGAAGTATAAAGAAAAATGTGACATTGTAACTAGTTTATTTTTCACAAATTCACTGTCAAAATTAAACCTTGGTTTAATAATCCCCATTTCAAAGGCAACCATGATCTGCAATAAAGTCTTCACATAAGTCAGTTTTTTTGTTTTTTTTTTAATTATTTAATAAAACAAGCTGCCAGATTACTCACCCAACTGAGCATGATGAGGTTCGGCCATTTGTACCAGAGCATTATCCTTCTTATTAAACAGGATTTTCACACGCTGCACATCACCATAGACACCTAAAGAGCAGAATTGAATTAATATTAATGGTATTTTACAATACTTCATCTCTTATGACATTAGAATTAGCAGTTAAAAATCTAGTGGGGGTGGGTAGTGAGAGAGAGAGAGAGGGAGAGAGAAAAAAAAAGCCTTTGTTTATTTGATTCAGGTATGTCTTTATGCTTAATAGTTGATAAACCAGGATTTTTCTACACTAGATTCTCATTCCGCAAAAGTATTCTCATCTTTGTTTTGGGAACCTCATATTAAACAGGGTATGCTTCATTGCTCTTTCTGCAAATTTTGAGTACTATCTATCAGCATGTCAGCTACTTTAAATTAAGGGTGGAGAGAGATGGAAGGGGAAAGAAGAAAAGAGCAACATGACAATCTGACATGGCCCAGAGACCAGATTTTAAATCTAAGATGTAAAAAGTATTACTTTTTGCATTTCCCAGAATGGTAGAATGGGCAAACTGGAAAAGAAAAGAAAAAGGAAACAACCCTGATTTGGCCAGATTTATTACACATGAACAATCTGTTATGCTTCCCCAATCTAATACTGATCAAATTTCAAGCCTTTCTCCCATCCACCAATTAGATGGTAGTTACTTAAAACACAACACTATTGACGATAGAATTTATAGCTAAGAATCTTAACCCTTTTGCAGTTTAGGCTTTTGTGTAAATGAAGGCAAATTCCAAGAAATGTAACAAAGGAGGATGCGCAAACATTTTCAGCTGCCGACCTACCCCTTTGCCCCAAAACACCTTGTAAATAATTTATTAAGAGTGAGGTAAATAATAATAAAAAAAAAAAAAAAAAAGTGTAAAGAGAGAATAAAGAAAAATGTTGAAGCCAATAAGAGTTAGAATGGCTGAAGCCACCCACAACAAACAGGCAACATAACAAATAAAGCTCACTACAGTGTTAAAAAGTAGGCCCAGAAAGGTTATTTAGGAATTATTCTTAAAATAGCAAGAAAGTGAGATCCCAACTTAAATGTAGTACAATACCATCATAAAAAAAAAAAAAAAAAAAAAAAAAAAAAAAAAAAAAAAAAAAAAAAAATGCAGTTGGAATTGTCCACATGAGATGGCGCAAGAAGAAGAAAGGTGATAATCTGTTCCCCAACACTTTCTGACGAAGCACCATGTGAAAGAAGTCTATAAAGAAGGCATGCAGATGTCCTAAGTTAGAGAAATGGTTTGTCACTTACAGTGGGAGGGGAAAAAAAAAATAACAAAAAATAAAATAAAAATAAAGTATAAACTGAAGAGTGATGGAATGAAAGGCACAGAATAAAAAGATAAAAATTTAAGAGATAAGAACAGAAAAAGAAAAGCTAGGAAAAAGAACATTTATTATATATATATATATATATATATCATTGATATTGGAGGGAAAAAAAAAATCTAAGTGAAAGGAAAGTTTAAGGCCCTATAGACTGGTAAACAAGCTTAACCTTACAACATGCAGGTTATATTTAACATCAAAGACTACATATTCTGAAAGAATTTTTTTTTTTTTTTAAAGTTACCTGACTGAATCTCAAAACTTCTACTTTTGTACTTGGCTTTCTTAAATTAAAAAATTATAACATTAATTTAAGGTTATAAAAAGAGCAAGTGACATTTAAACAAACTATTAATGAATAGAGAGCAAAAAGGTATGCTCAAGTGACGTTACAATTTCTTGATAAGCAATTGAAATTTGGTAAATTCATCCTGATTATTTTTAGTAGTTTTTTTTAATCTGAAGATCTAGAGTAGTTCATTAACTGTAAGAGAAAAAGAAACTTCCTTTGGAAAGAGGATTAGAAAAATGAACTGAAAATAGGATTGAACATAGAAGCGTAGGTGAGTGAAAAAGTAGGGTTAGTTGCTGAAGAGATTCAGTCAGGTAGCATTGGTCTTCAAAAGAAAAAGCATTAGGAAATTGTCGATCATTCCTAGGTTCTTCTACAAAATGTCACAAGAAATGAAATAAAAGAGTGCTTAAAAACATACCAAAAAGGGTAAAGAGAACGTCGGGCGTGACCATCTATAGTCAGAGGAACAGGAATATAGCAGAGCGGAAGATAGGGTGAAATCATTGTCCGAGCGAGAGAGAGTCCACATGGAGAACACCAGCGTAGTAAGTTGGGACGGAAAAAAAAAAAAAAAAAAAAAAATTGGAACAAATCAGTGTTGTGAATTGATAACATGAGATTAAGTGTCAATGAAGAAAAACTCTGAAAAAGAGCAATTAAAACAATCAATGAAAGTCAAACAGTGTAGGTAGCAGCTGATCTAGGTGGGTTAGTTGCAGTCAGGGACTGGGGAAGATGGTAGCAGCAGCATCAACAGCAGTAGGTATAGAGAAGGGCAGTGGTGATGGCAGTAGTAGCAGCAGAGGAGGAAGATGAGTAGGAGAAGAAATGGCCATCTCCAACCATTAGTTGCTTTACAACATGCCAATAATAATAATAATAATAATAATAAAAAAGCATGCACAACACTAAAACGCTCCAATAAAACTAATAATACAAGCTACAATAGACAATAGCTTCAATTTTTTTTTTTTTTTTAAATAAATAGAAAGGGAAGCCGTAGTTTAAATAGGGGTGTGTGTGTGTGTTCTAAAATTGTATCTCTTTAGATATAAATTTTCGGTACCCCACAAATAACCTTTTGTAATTTGTGACCAAATATTTGTCTACAGTAAAGATTCAACATTAATAGCCTTATATATTAATTAGAAAATTAAATATATTTCAGTAAATATTAATTCTGAAGAATGTTAACTTCACTGGGGCACCTAGAATAGAGGCATAAAAAAAAAAAAAAAGTGAAGGATGTACAAAGAATGCAAAATTGAAATAAGCGATGCTGTTTGAAATAGAAAGGGGGTGGAGAGAGAGAGAGAGAGAGAGAGATATCTTAGATAAAAATATAAAAAGTTCCCAAGATAAATCTTTATAAAAAGTAGACCTAAAGTGAATACTTTATTGGCTTTCCCTGGAGGCAGAAAGCACCCAGCAAAGAGAAAGCTCATAAAATATTCATCTTTTAAGATGGGCAAAAAGCAACTTGGGTAGGTCGTAATTGGATTTTGTCAAATCAAATAGTTGAATGTCTGGGCAATGTCAAAGTTGTGCATACATGACAAGGTGATTACAGGAATAAAAACTTGGCAACAAGGTTAATTTTCGGAATAACCCATAAGATGTAGAGGATTAAAAAAAAAAAAAAAAAAAGGATAAAGTTGTCCCACTACTAAACATCTGACTCCCCCCCCCGTGTGTGTGTGTGTGTGTGTGTGTGTGTGTGTGTAGGAGGGTGGATGCTAACAGTAGCAGTGATTGCAACTGCAGAAATTTAAGGATGGACAAAGAAATTTTTAAGCATACCTCTTCATCAAGGTTGGAAACAAGAAGAACACAATTGCAAGCTTGTGTCTGCAGTGGCATCCCAAGGCGTG